GAGCCAGGCACATGGCAACTCCTTTCACTTGGGGCAAACAGGTGCTGGCCCAAACCCCCCATCCGGAGATGCTGTCAGGGAGATAACTGAAGTCCCTCTACCTGTGGATCCCCACTCCCCAGCCAGCTATGCTCACAGCTGCTGGCACTTGGGCAGGAGGGATGCCTGTTTTTGGCTCCGACAGGCCTACAGAAATTGTGTACCCCTGTGGGGGCATGATGGGAAGGTAACCAAGGGACTTCATTTCCCCTCTTCAAGCTGCTTCCTTCCCAAGAAACTAAAAAACATATCTTGAGGAAGGAGAAAATGCCGGTGCTGTCCCCTGTCATCGACCTCCACACCCGTCAGGAGGCCCTTCGCAGCCTCAGCTTCTCAGTGCTGGGACTGTGGGGTGCAAAGAGAAGACAGGAAGAGGCCCCTCCAGTCTGCCCTTTGGTGGCTGGGGAGTCAGGAGACCTGCATGTAGGTAAGAGACCTGCAGAACTCACTCCACCCTCCGTGTCTCAGTTTCCTCATCTGGCTCCAGCTCTAAAATGTCACTCTCTCCTTGCCTCAGTTTCCCTCCAGGGAAAGTCATCTGTCCCAGGGAGAAGAAAAAGGTGAATTCACTTCTAAGGGGAAAGTTCACTTCTGAGGGCAGTAGATGGAATGTAGCCCATTTCTCCCAGGGACAGGGGCCAGAGAGAGAACGAGGATGAGGTGATCACAGAGGGTGGTGCTAAGAGATGGACCCTTCTTGAAGGAAACCACGTCTTCCTGGAGTGCTGCAGGCTGTTGAAAGAGAAAGTTCATCTCCTTGTCCCCCTCAGCACGGGCATTCTCCTCAAAGCCAACTCTCATTCTTTCCTTGAACCCAGAAGAACAGCACAGGCTCACACCCCCTCTGCTCAGATGAGTGTTTTTCATGAGCAATTTTCTCCTGTCCCGGACAATCTAATTCCTGCTTACACCCATGATACCCTGGAGCCCCATGCAGAAGTTGCAACTCCTGGCATTCTCAGGAATGAGGAAATGTGGTGCTGGGGTGGGGGGAGGCCCCAGGGTCTAGAGAGGAAGAAGGGCCCCTGCCCCTCCAGAGAGCATTCGGTGAAGGCAGAGCCTGGGAGGCCAGCTCTGTAGGGCCTGCTCAGTGACCTTGGTCAAGCCACAACACCCCTGGGCCTCAGTTTCCCCAAGGCCTTCATCCAAACACAATGTTTCTCTCTCAAGGCCAGGGCGAGTAGGGAGGCAGAGCCTTTCTTTGGAAGCACATGGGGAAAGGGTGGCATTGTTCCCCTGGGGGACCAGGAGCCCGGCCAGCCCGGCAGCAGCGCAGCACTGACGTTGTCATAACCCATAACGGCGGAGCAGACTGCCCCCTCCCGTCCCAGCCCAGAGAGTGGGCGGCAGAGCCCCGGGGAATCCCTGGGTGGGGGAGAGGGTAGCCCAGAGCGGTAACTCCCACCTGGCTGTCAGGCAGGAGGCCGGGGACCCCGCAAGCAAACCTCCTACCAACCTCCATCCCCCCATCCAGTGAAGACCGGTCTACTAACGCCACGCCCTCCCGGGTGGGCGGCTCAGGCCACCCTTTCCTGGGTACAAGCTAGAGACAGCCAGCGTGGCAAGGGATTGTGGCGCAGTCTCCCCTACCCCCATCCCTCCCAATGCAAGGTCTCAGAAAGCACAGAAACAAGCAATCCTTCCCCGCCCCCTCCCCGTGCGGGACCTGGATCCTGCGCCCCTTCTTCCCGGCCCGACCAGCCCGGGTCACTGCACCTGCGTCGCGTGCTCACCACATCTGCGTCCTCAGCACCGCGGCCCCAGCCCCAGGCGCGGCGCTCAGGCCGCCAGGCTGCGGTGACAAGCTCCACGCTCCCCACCTGGGAGGAGACTGCCAGCGGGTCCTCCTCTTCGCCGGCCGGGCGAAGCCAGCCCCACCTGGCAAGGGAGTGTCAGCAAATTCCCTTCTGCATCACCACGAGAGAGGCATCCCGGCTCCTCCCAAGCAGGGGCCAACCTTGGCCCCGCCCCAAGGCTCCTCTGACCTGCGGGGGAACCCGGGCTGGCGGATCCTACGCGAAGACCCAGGCTCCGCCTCAGAGACCCTGTAGCTACCAGGAACCATCTGCAAATTACCATCTTAAACGCACAAGGCTGCCGGTCCCTGGTTCCAGCTTGCTTCAGCTCCCCTGATGCACTGGGCCTGGGCAGCTCCTTTGCCACCTCCCCTCGCCCTCCCTGAGGCCTGTCCCCTTTCCCAGTCTCCTTAGTCCCATCAGCCAGAAGCAAGAAAAGCCACCCCACTCCCACAAAGGTAGCCCTCTGCCCCGCCCAAGGACCCGGTCCTGGCACCAGCCCAGTGGCTGGTACCCAGCTGCTACCCAGACTCCTTCTTCCCCAACAAAGGAGCCATCTACAGTTGGCCACAGCCCCACCCGGGAGGCCCAAGGGAGTGGGCTGGGTCATTTCCAGTTTGCGGTGGGCCACACTCCTGCAGGTCTCAGAGTTTCATCAAAGTCCTGACCACTCTGCTATGTAGACACTGGTTTTGACCCTGAGGACAGGTGCCAGCGTTTGCAACCCCCAAAGATCAGTGTGCAAAACAAGGGGCAGTAGTAAACAGCCTCTCCTTCCCAGGCAGGAGCCTAGGCACATTCATGTCATAGACATTATCTGCACTCGCAGTACCAGATAATGGGAGACAGCTAGTGGGGGAGGAGCCACTGCCCAGCGCTCTCTGAAAGTGACGCCCTTTCACCAGTTAGCGCTGTTAGCAATATGATAAGAAGGCCACAGAGGAAGCCGTGTGAACACAAGGTCATGAGGTGCCAGAGGATGGGCTCAAAGTCTGGTTATGCTTTCATGGGTTGATTTCCCCATAACCATCAGCAGAGCACCCCCTTCCACACAACCCTGCCAGACTGGCACACCCTGGTCATCTCCCTCTTCCTCTGACCCCCTGGTTCTCATGACCCAGCCACCCCAGGAAGACCCAAGGGTGAGCCACATAGACACATTCCGTCAAAGTCTATCCATTATGCAGTCACTCACCCACTCATTCCATTTTTTTTTTCTTCGAGACAGAGTCTCGTTCTGTCGCCCAGGCTGGAGTGCAGTGGCTCGATCTGGGCTCACTGCAAGCTCCGCCTCCCAGGTTCACGCCATTCTCCTGCCTCAGCCTCCCGAGTAGCTGGGACTACGCCCGCCACCACGCCTGGCTAATTTTTTGTGCTTTTAGTAGAGATGGGGTTTCACCGTGTTAGCCAGAATCGTCTTGATCTCCTGACCTCGTGATCTGCCCACCTCAGCCTCCCAAAGTGCTGGGATTACAGGCGTGAGCCACCGTGCCCGGCCCACTCATTCTTTTATCTTTTTCATTCACGGGACAGGAAGGCTTTTGACCATCTATTCTTCAGTGGCAACAGGGCATCAGGGTCTAGGTTCCAGCCCTTGCTTAGCGGCTATCATGCTGTGCAACCTTGGGTAGCTCACTTGATCTCTCTGTTTTTCCCTCTCATCTGTAATTCTGAGAGGGCTGGGCTAGTTGGGGTCTCAGACCCCTCTGCCGTGACACTTGTATTCTCCTCTTCTAGGATAAAGACTGGCGGGTACAAAGACAAACCAGATCAATACAAGAATAGTGCTGGGGATGCTAGCTGCCTGCGTTTCAGTCCCAGCTGGGCCACCTAAATATGGGACTTAACCTCTCTGTGCTTCTTTTTTTTTTTTTTTTTTTGCATATGGAAAATGGGAAAAAACAATAATCATAAGCTTAAAGGGTGATTGTGAGAATTAAATGAAATATCGTATACAAAATAAATGCTCTGCAAAGATTCATTGTTGTTGCTGTAGTTATGCTATTCATAGTCTGGTGGGACAGCATAAATTCTCAACAGAAGCGGTTTGTCTGTTCCTTCTCTGCTTCATCATCACAGCAGCTGTTAAACCCATACCCAACCCCATCCACGTCCTAGAGGAGAAACCTGATAAACATCAACGACATGCCATAAAGAGAGGCCAGGTGCGGTGGCTCATGCCTGTAATCCTAACAGTTTGGGAGGCTGAGGTGGGCAGATGACTTGAGGTCGGGAGTTCGAGACCAGCCTGGCCAACATGATGAAACCCAGTCTCAACTATAAATACAAAAATTAGTCAGGCGTGGTGGCAGGCACCTGTAATCCCAGCTACTTAGGAGGCTGAGGCAGGAGAATCACTTGAACCCAGGAGGCGGAGGTTGCAGCTAGCTGAGATCGCACCACTGCACTCCAGCCTGGGTGACAGAGTGAGACTCCGTCTCGGAAAAAAAAAAAGAAAGATACAGTAAAGGGGAACAGAAGCCAGGTGTGGTGGCTCACACCTGTAAACCCAGCTACTTGGGAGGCTGAGGCAGTAGGATTTCTTGAGGCCAGGAGGTTGGGATCAGCCTGGGCAATATAGGGAGACCTACATCACAAAGGAGAGGAGATGAGAAGAGAGGAGAGGGAGGAGAGGAGAGGAGAGGGGAGAGGAGGGGAGGAGAGGGGAGAGGAGAGAGAGGGGAGGGGAGGGGAGGGGAGAGGGGAGGGAAAGGAAGGGGAGAGGAGAGGGGAGGGGAGAGGAGAGGGGAGGGGAGAGGGGGAGGGGAGGAGAGAGGGGAGGGGAGGGGAGGGGAGAAGGGAGGGGAGGGAAGGGGAGAGGGGAGGGGAGGGAAGGGGAGAGGGGAGGGGAGGGAAGGGGAGAGGGGAGGGGAGGAAAGAGGGGAGGGGAGGGAAGGGAAGGGGAGAGGGGAGGGGAGGGAAGGGGAGAGGGGAGGGGAGGAGAGAGGGGAGGGGAGGGAGGGGAGAGGGGAGGGAGGGGAGAGGGGAGGGGAGGAGAGGGGAGGGAAGGGGAGAGGGGAGGGGAGGGAAGGGAAGGAGAGAGGGGAGGGGACGGGAGGGAAGGAGAGAGGGGAGGAGACGGGAAAAGAAAGAAAGAAAGAGAGAGAGAAAGAAGGAAGGAAGGAAGGAAAGAAGAAAAGAAAGAAAGGAAGGAGGGAAGGAAGGAAGGAAGGAAGAGAAGAAGAACCCATGGAAGGGAGGAGAACCCATGAAGATGCCAGGTGGGCTGTGTGGTGGGGAAAGAGATGACCCCATTGTCCCAACCAACCACCTAGATGAGTGTCAGGCTTGTAGAAGGTTCTCAGTAAAAGTGTATGGGTATGAATAACTGAGGCTTTCGAAAGAAAGGCCTTTCTGGCCTGTGACACTGAAAACACTTATCATGCTTTTACTTGTGTATTGGGGTGGGAGTGCCTTTGGCCTGAGTTGTCAAATCTGAAAGATGATGCCTGTAATTGTCTTCATGACTGCATTGTTAACCTCCAATGTCTGGTCTGGGAACATAATCCAGAACAATATAAAATAAACAAAAGGACTCTGAGTAACCCTCACAGTGAGCTGAGATCACACAACTGCACTCCAGCCTGGGCGACAGAGCGAGACTCCGTCTCAAAAAAAAAAAAAAAAAAACGAGAGAGAGAGAGAGAGAGAGGTACAGAAAAGGGGAATGGAAGCCAGATGCGGAGGCTCACACCTGTAATCCCAGCTACTCGGGAGGCTGAGGCAGGAGGATTTATTGAGGCCAGGAGGTTAAGACCAGCCTGGGCAATATAGAGAGATCTACATGAGAAAGGAGAGGAGAGGAGGGGAGGGGAGGGAAGGGAAGAGGAGGGGAGGGGAGGGAAGAGGAGGGGAGGGGAGGGAAGAGGAAGGGAGAGGGAAGAGGAGGGGAGGGAAGGGGAGGGGAGGGAAGAGGAGGGGAGGGGAGGGAAGAGGAGGGGAGGGAAGGGGAGGGGAGGGAAGAGGAGGGGAGGGAAGGGGAGGGGAGGGAAGAGGAGGGGAGGGGAGGGGCGGGGCTTTTTCTGCATATCGCCTTGTGTCTTCAATCGGAGCCCACCTTTACTTACTCCACACAAAATTTCAACAGATCCAGTGTGCCAGAGACTGCTAAGAGCCCCTTTTCTTTCCCTCTTCCTTTTTGCAGCAGAGCTCCCAAGGGTAAAACCTGGATTTACGGCTTCCCTACTAGAGACCACATATCCCAGAACCCCTCGCAGCCAGGTGGAGGTATGAACTAAGTCCTAGCCAGTGAGATATGAGTGGAAGTAATAGGTTTAATTTCTGGGCCACATCCTTAAAAGGAAGCTGGCTGTTCTCTACTTCCTCTTTCCCCTTTATGAAGACTGGGATGTGGACATGGGGTGGAGGAGAGGGCAGCTTTGATGATGCTGACCAGGACAACCCCCTAGAGACAGGGCATCAAGGCAGGAAGAACTTGAGTCACCAGATGACCTGGAGAAGTGCCCTAGAATGCTGACCACCTTGCATTTTTCCCATGGGAGAGCAATAACCTTGTAAAGTCACTATTATCTGGTCTCTGTTGCAGCAGCTGAACCAATAGCCTAAAGGAGAAGCCACTTTCCTGATTTTCCACAGCAGATGAGCAGGAGCATGTTAGAAGGAAAAAGGACTAATAAGAAAGCAAGTACAGTGAAAAGGGCAAAAGTCAAGAGCAAGAGAAGAGAGAACAATGATAAACAAACAAACAAAAAAACAAAAAAACAAACTTGACCAGGCGTGGTGGCTCACGCCTGTAATCCCAGCACTTTGGGAGGCTGAGGCAGGCGGATCACAAGGTCAAGAGATCAAGACCATCCTGGCCTACATGATGAAACCCTGTCTCTGCTAAAAATACAAAAATTAGCTAGGCATGGTGGCATGCACCTGTAGTCTCAGCTACTCGGGAGGCTGAGGCGGGAGAATCGCTTGAACCCGGGAGGCAGAGGTTGCGGTGAACCGAGATGACGCCACTGCACTCCAGCCTGGTGACAGAGTGAGACTCCGTCTAAAACAAAACAAAACAAAACAAACAAACAAAAACCCCACAAAACTTAGGAATTTGGAGTCATTTAGCATAAGGTCATTCCAATAGACTTTGAAGGCATCATTGTATCACAAGGTAGTAGTGGAAACATGCTCAGAACAACCATCCTGCATCACTAGGAGAAGTCATTGACCAAATCCTTTATTTTAAAGGAAAGCAACTGTGTATTTAGAAAGTATTCCCAATCAAAAGTGGTTAAAATGGAATAAAGCCTGTATATTTGGGGGAGAAACCTTCAGCATCTGGAAAACTCAGTCATCCAAAATTACACCTTTCCTCAATGATGAGAAATCAGAGATTTAGATTAATTTATATTTACCTTCTCCCTCATTAGATTATGAATCCTTTTAAGGTCAGATTATGTCTCCTTTTTCTTTTAATTTTTAATATTGAACACTGTGCCTTGACTCAATAAATACTTTCTAATGGCTTTGGGGGTGAAGTCTATGTTACCTCGGATGACAGAGCCTAGGATGGTCCCACTAGCTGATTTGGAACACAGATGCTCCTCGACTTAGGACGATGACATTACATCCTGATGAACCCATCATAATTGGAGAATAGCATAAGTTGAAAATGCATTTAACCCACCTGATAGGGTTTGGCTGTGTCCCCACTCAAATATCTTGAATTGTAATTCCCATAATCCCCAAGTGTCATGGGAGGGACCTGGTGAGAGGTAATTGAGTCATGCCGTTCTCGTGATAATGAGAGTTCTCACAAGATCTGATGGTTTTATAAGGGGCTTTTCCCCTTTTGCTCAGCACTTCTCTTTCTGCTGCCATGTGAAGAAGGATGCGTTTGCTTCCCCTTTCACCATGATTGTAAGTTTCCTGAAACCTCCCCAGCCATGTGGAACTATGAGTCAATTAAACCTCTTTTCTTTACAAATTATCGGGTCTCAGGTATGTCTTTATTAGCAGCATGAGGACGGACTAACACACCATCTAATCTACCAAACATCATAGCTTAAGCTAACCTACCTTAAATGCGCTCAGAATACTGATATTAGCCTATAGTTGGGCAAAATCATCTATCACAAACCCTATTGTATAATAAAATGTTGAATATTTCAACACTTTGTTATAAAATGGGCTTTGTGTTAGATGATTTTATTTATTGAATACTGAAAGTGAAAAACATAATGGTTGTATGGATACTTGAAGTATGATTTCTGCTGAATGCATATTGCTTTTGCACCATTTTAAAGTCAAAAAATTGTAAGTAGAGTCGTTGTAAGTTGGACTGCCTGTATTGATCAGTGAAATTGTCTGAGATCTTAAACTAGCCCAGTGAACAACTGCAGGGACCCAACCCTCATAGTTTTATTGAGCCTATGGTGGGCCTGGGAACTTGCCTCTGTTATCTAGAAATAATTTCATCATACACACTCAAGCTCACAAAGACCTACACACACAAGAATGCTCATTGCAGAATTGTTTGTAATTGCAAAAACAACAATAACAAAAAAAACCTCATAACTCTGCACAGCCTACACAAATGTACATGGGTTTTCTGTAGCACCCAGGTGAGATGTTCAGGAAAAATCAAAATGAGAGAGAAAAGGCAGGAAGTGAAAGCCACACACCAGTGTCCCTATCACCCTAAGGCCTGATGTTGGGTGACGCTGCTAGGCAGAGGGTAAGCAGGGGGCCATGGGCTTGGAGATGATGGGAGTCAGACCACAGATTTTACTACAGGACCCAGAATATAAACATATGCCATTGACAGGGACAGTATTTTCAAGGCAGAGCCAATACACTGTTTATACTTTAGTAGCAAGCCGCATACTCTAGGGTGTCCCTGATCCCAAGAGCCAAATAAAAACTCTCTAAGAAAGTGGATTCATTTTGGGAGCTCAGCTCCTATCACACGCTCTAATCTGCCTTTCCAGACGGAAGGGAATTTGATTTCCTGTGCAGAAAGTAGCGGGGAAATGTATTGGAATGGAAAACCATTTTTTCCAGTGTCCTCTGCCTAACCAGACACAGGGTTGTGGTTTTCTAGAGAGAAGAAGACTTCAGGCTTAGGTCTAGACACACAGCATTGTCCCTACTTGGAAGCTGGTGTTCCCCAGTGGAGGAGTCAGGCCCTAGGATCACTCAGCCCTGCCACAGAAGAGAACCCAGGCCTCCCTTCTTCTGGGACAACCCTGGCCTGTCTGCCCTCTCTTACCCCTGGCCTCAGACTGGGCCCCACTCACCAAGGCCCTGGTGGGTAATCTTAGCCAGCAGCAATCTCTTTTACTAGTACTTCTCCCCTGGAAGAAGAGAAATTCACAGCTGGTAGCAGGTCATTGTTATCCACCGCCACTATCACTTAATGATATTGGAAACTTCTGGGCAGGTGAGGTCAGAAGCAGGTGTTGATGACATCACAAAAGAAACACCACTGTGTTGTACTGGAACTCTGGGGTTCTGGTATCATTTCTTCACCCAGGATTGAGCTCAACTGAACATTTTCAGACAGATCTGGGGGTTGAAGCCTGCATAGCCTCACCTCAATTCTATCTTGAGCCTAGCTGATGCCCTGCAGAATTAGATCCTTAAAGAATAACTGCCGGCCGGGCGCGCTGGCTCACACCTGTAATCCCAGCACTTTGGGAGGCAGAGGCGGGCGGATCACGAGGTCAGGAGTTCAAGGCCAGCCTGGCCAAGTTGGTGAAACCCCGTCTCTACTAAAAATACAAAAATTAGCTTGGCACAGTAGTGGATGCCTGCAATCCCAACTACTCGGGAGGCTGAGGCAGGAGAATCGCTTGAACTCGGGAGGCGGACGTTGCAGGGAGCTGAGACCGCACCACTGCACTCTAGCCTGGGTGACAGAGCAAGACTCTGTCTCAAAACAAAAAAACAAAAAAACAAACAAAAAAAAACACATGGGTCCTTGCACTGATATTTTATTGAGGCTATAGAACTCCCCTGCTCCCCCAAACTGATACTCATGAGGCAGAAATATGAGTTTCTTCTGGGCCACGAAGTGAAGATCTCTTCAGGGCCTCATGTCCCGGCTCTTGAAATCAGCTCTGTTGTACCCCTTCCCCTGGGTGTTGGTATCTGTTTTCAGTAATGAACCTTTTCTTTGTTGTATAAGCTTTGTCAACTTTGTGAAATATAATACATACACGGAGAAGCATATACCATACAACAATGAGCACCATAAAATAATCATAGAGCAAACTCTGGTGTAGCGACACTGTTTAAGTCGATAAATAGAACATTATCACCAGAAGTTTCCCTGTATTGGTCCAGTCCCTTCCCCGCACAGAGATAGCCCTATCCTGACTTCAGTCTTTCCTTGCATTGCTTTGTACTTTTACCACATGATTATTCATTCCTAATCAATATGGTTTGCTTTGGTCTGTATTTTAAGTGTACATTAATAGAATTAGAGTATAAATATACTTTTATGTTGGGCTGTTAGAACTCAACATTGGGTTTTTTTGGTTTGTTTTTTGTGTTGTTTTATTTTTTTGGATGGCGTTTCACTCATGTCGCCCAGGCTGGAATGCAATGGCACAATCTCAGCTCACTGCAACCTCTGCCTCCCAGGTTGAAGTGATTCTCCTGCGTCGGCCCCCCAGGTAGCTGGAATTACAGGCACATACCACCACTCCCAGTTAAGTTTTGTATTTTTAGTAGAGACGGGGTTTCACCATGTTGGCCAGGCTGGTCTCAAACTCCTGACCTTAGGTGATCCGCCTGCCTCAGCCTCCCACAGTGCTGGGATTATAGGCATGAGTCACCACGCCCGGCTTCAACATTGTATTTTTAAGATTTATCCACACTGTGGTATACAGTTGGCGTTTATCCATTTTCATTACTCTATTGTTTGACTATGTCATAAACTAATCCTTCCTGGTTTGTTTGGCATTTGTTTTTATTTCCAGTTTTTTATTAGTGAGTGCTATGATTTGAATGTTTTTTGTGTCCTCCAAAATTAATTAATTAATTGAAAAATATAGGCTGGGTGTGGTGGCTCACTCCTATAATCCCAGCAGCTTGAGAAGCTGAGGCCAGCAGATTGCTTGAACCTACGAGTTTGAGATCAGCCTGGGCAACATAGTGAGACTCCATCTGTTAAAAAATACAAAAATTAGCTGGGCATGGTGGTGTGCACCTGCAGTCCTAGCTACTCTGGAAGCTGAGGTGAGAGGATTGCTTGAGCCTGGGAGGCAGTGGTTGTAGTGAGCCAAGATTATGCCACTGCACTCTAGCCTGGGTGACAGAGTGACACCCTGTCTCAAAAAAAAAGAAAGGAAAGAAAAAGATGGTAAAGCAAGAAATCAATCATTTTAAACTGTTACAGAGCATAGAAATAGAAGTAAAATGTCCATATTATTTTATATAAAGCCCACATAACACTGAAATAATACATGACAATGACTTCACACAAAAATTATTTCTTAAAAAATTATTTGGTTGACAGGGTCTCAAGATGGCTGCCAGGCGGCTGCTTCCTGACAGAAGAAAAGATATCGAGTGGGCTGGTACCTCCTGGCCTAAATGAAAGTGATGTTGAGTCAAACTCTGAAGATGAAGCTACATTGGAGAGCTCTAGGCTTAACTTACAGGAAGATAAAGAGGATGGGAACCTCAGAAAAGCAGAAATCATAGACTTCACAACAGATGAAGCAAAAAGTGAAACAGAGTCAAATGTAAATGCCTAAGAGGAGTGTCCTTCTGGAA